GTGCTTGGCCTCACCCAGTGCCCACCCACCCCTGCATTATCCTGAGCCCATTAACAGCACCGTCTACCTGGCCACAGGGCTGGGGCTGTTAGTGGTAGGAGTGTGCCCAGTGCCTGTCTGGGACGGCGAAGGGGCAGCAGGGCCAAGGGCAGCCTCCAGGGCAGCCGGGCTGGTGTGGAGGGTGGAGGAGTGGGCAATCTCCACCCCACTTAGGGCTTTGCTCTACCCTTCCCAGTTCCTGTTAGACCACCCGAAAGAGCCACCCATTCGGAGGGTGCCTCCACACAGGCGAGGTGGGGCAGGGTGACACTGGCCAGGGGCGGGAGCATGGTCTCCTGACACCCGCTCCGAGCTGGGCAGTGCTGGGCGCTGAGCCCGTCCACAGCCTGGTGCTCAGTGGCCGAGGGGACTGTGGGTGATGTCAGAAGCGTGTGCCCAGGCTCAGTTCCCGAGTTGCTGGTAGTAAAAAAATCCTGGAACAGGTGTCCTTTGTTAAGGTCATGACTGGTCTCTGAGCAAATTCAACCCAAGAATTTCAGTCAAGTGTCCTGCAGGCTGGAGGAAGAAATGAAGTCTGCCTGCCCTTGGGGAGAGTCACCTTCCTGCCCAGCCAAAGCCCTGAAGCCTGGGCAGGTCTGGACAAGGCCGTGAGGGACTGGCCACACCCCGGTGTCCCTCCCAATGAACACACAGGACCTGTGCCCAGTGGAGAAGTCTCTGGAGCGTCCCACAGCCCAGAGCCACCGCCCACCGGCCACTCTGCTGGCATTTCGCCCTCGGCCTCCTACTCTCAGTGAGAAAGCCCCTCATGCAGGGATCAGGTTCCCCCCTGGGAGGCCTTGTGAGGGCTGCTCGGAGCTAAGCTGGGCAAGTCACTCCTGCCTGAAAAGATGAGTGGGGCTGTCCTTCACTCGTCGGCCCCCCAGCCGCCTGCTCCGAGGGCCAGGGCACCAAGGCGAACTGTGGCCGCCCTGCACGCTCCTGCTGCTCAGAGCCTTACTCAGGGCTCCTGTGTCCTCGCCACGAAGGGCGTCTGAGAGTCACCATGTTCCAAGTGGCTTTGACAAGTGCTGGTGTGAGGGTGGCGTGGGCTCTGTGGCTCTTGGGGCCGGGGAGGCACAGCGTCCCCTGCTCTCCATGCAGCAGCCCTCAGCTGCCCCAGGGAGCCCGTGACGGGGACACTGAGAGCCATTTCAGAGCCACGCCATCAGTCCCACATCAGTCCCGTGTTAGTCACTTACAGGATCTGCTTAGTTGTCAGTGTATGAGAGTGAAGTTGTCCCAGCCCCAGCCCCTCACCGCTTCTGGGGACAGGGTTGTAACCTCGGTGCTGGGCCCAGACCCCTGCCACCCACCGGGGCTGAGGGGACCGGGAAGGTGGGAGACTGGGTGCGGAGTGAGGCCACGCGAGCTGGGCCACTGGCTGCCGCGGAGGCCGGGCCAGCTTTAGTCCCAGACCCGCCGTGGCTGTAAGTTCTGTTTCCATCTCAAGCTCTGCTCCCCTCACTGCTGTCATTCAGCTCCACTCACGAATTTTTTTTTAACCCTCACTTGAGGATATCTTTCCCACTGCTTTTCAGAGAGAGGGGAAGGGAGAGAGAGAAACATCCATGTGAAAGAGACACATCGATGGGTTGCCTCCCCCACACCCCCCAACTGGGGCCAGGAATTAAGCCTGCAACCAAGGCACGTGCCCTGGGCCAAAAACAAACCGAGGCCCTTCAGCCTGAGGGTGGATACTCTCCTGAGCAAACCAGCCAGGGTGGGAACTTTTTTTAATCTTCACCTGAGGACGTGCTTAGAGAGAGAGAAAGAGAGAAACATCGAGTGGTTGCCTTCCATACGCTTCCCAATTGGAGATCAAACCCGCAACCCAAGCATGTGTCTGACTGGGAATGGAGCTGGCGACCTTTCAGGGCCTGGGACGATGCTTAACCAGCCGAGCCACTGCGGCCAGGCACTTGTGACACCCTCCCAGTCTCTGAGCGTCTCACACGCTTGAACAGCACACTAGGTGCTCACGCTGCCGACTCCTGACAGTGCAGGTCCACACTGCTCCCACTGCCTGGCCCTCAGAGCCTTTGTGCTCACCCCTCGAGCAGGCATGGCCTGGCACAGAGCCCAACGCGCTGTGACCCGGGGATGCCTCGCAGAGGGGTTCAGGGTGATGCCTGCATCTCCGGCTCACAGCCCACACCCCACCTCCTGATAATCATTCTTCGCAGTTGGCCTCGGCCTCTCCCTCCACCCCACAGCCTATCCCGAGGCTGAGTGGCCCCAGGCCATGCAGGGCTCTGAGTCCACGTAGTCCTCAGAGAGGGGTCTAGTCAGGTCCACCAGGGAATCAGCAGGCCAGGTCCCATGGGACCAGCACCAACACCCGTCCTCAGGCCCCTATCTTTACCCCAGGGGCACACAAAGCAAAGCTGGGGAGCCAGCCAAGCCCACCCAGGGCTCCTAGGAGGGGTTGCTTCCTCCACATCTACAGGGCTTCCTGTCCCCCTTCCCACTGGTTGCTGGTTAAGAAGGACCCTCACCCTCAGTGCCCCATCCCTCCCCCTTCCCCTGTCCTGGGGACTCATCCAGTCCAGAACTTGGTGACAGCTATCCCCAGAGGTGATTAAACAGTGACATGGGTCACTCAAGGTCTCTCCTCACACCAAAGCCTGAACTCTGGCCAAGGCAATGATAAGGTGCTTCCGTAATCAGCGACAGCAGTTTTTACAGCCACAAGCTCAGAATCCTGGTGCCAGTTCCCTGCCTACCACAGCCAAGCCTCACACACTCTCCTGGTTCCTCTGGAGTAAATGTGGGTGCCTCCCAGCTCGTTGACAACCCACTCTGTTCCTCAAAGAACCGGGGCTCAATGTACTCAGGTGGGAAGGGCCATGGCCTCAGGAACTGTGACTTCCTTACACTCTGGCTGTGGCCCACTCTGACCCTCTGCCTCTTCTCTCTGGTCTCCATTGCCCCTCCCCTGCCCAGTTCCATCTGGCTCCTCCTGAAGAACCCCACGTTCATCCTGCTCTGCCTGGCTGGGGCCACTGAGGCCACGCTCATCTCCGGCATGTCCACATTTGGCCCCAAGTTCCTCGAGTCACAGTTCAGCCTGAGCACCTCTGAAGCTGCCACCTTGTTTGGTGAGAAAAGTCCCTGAATCTTGGGGGTCCTCAGCCTTTTCGGTAATTCTCAGATGAACAAGGGGTCTTTGAGAGCATCTTCTAGAAAGAGCAGACAGTGCGCTCCCCGTGTGGCCCAACCCAGGTAGGGAGAGCTCCAGAGCGAGAGTCAGGGGCTTGTGGACAAGGCAGTGTGCTCACAGATCGGACAGTATGAACAGGACCATCCTTCCCGAGGCTTTGGGCACACTGGCACAGTGTGCAGGGCATGCTGACCGCTCTCTCAGGGCCCCGTGGAGCCACGCTGCCCTCCTAGTGGGAGCCCACTCTAGCTGGGAGGGTGAGGGTGGGCTCCAGCTTTCCTGCCCCCCCCCCCTCGCCACCCGGGGCCTTGGCCTGCGTCATCACCTTGAGCTGGCGTCCAGTGTCCCAGGGTCTCAGAGGATCATGCGGCTGGACCTGCCCAGCTGCAGGTACTCTGTGGCCAGAGCAGGTTAGTCCTCCCAGAAGACTGTGGCCCCTCCTCAGACCCCTCCTCCCGCGGGGCAGTCTCGGCCTTGCTGAGCACACGCCTGGCAGGGGAGGGGTAGTCACAGGGCACGAGGTCAATGCCATGTGTGCAAGACGGGGAGCATCCGAGCAGCACCCAGGCCAAATCCAGCCCCGGCATGCGAGGGGGCCATCAGATTGGGAACCCCACCCCCTTTCTCTTCCTAATGCCCCAAGACTCCCCTCCTTGCCTCGCCTGCTCCGCATCTCCAGACCCCCACGCACAACAACTGCCTCCCTTCCCCACTGGGGCCCCCTGTCCCTGCACTGATGCCCCCTCCTGGAACAGCCATGTCCTCTGGGGTGCCCCCTCTCCCACCCGCAGAGCTAGCTTTGATCAGTGCTGAGGAGATGGGCCCACTGAGTCCTGGGGGCTTTCAGGTTGCCCACTGCCCCTTGAAGCCCCACTCCCATCCTGGGAGCCCATGCCAACTAACCTCAACTTCCTGTTGAATGGCCACTGCCACAGGCTTCAAATGTCCCCCCACTGGGCAGAGGCCGTGGGGGGCAGGTGCCATGGACCTCTCCTCCTCCCCAGTGGCAAGGCAGCAACAGAGAGCTCTGGTTAGGCCCTGGCACACATCAAGCCCAGCGCTGCCACTGGGCAGGGATGGCTCCACACCTCTGTTTCCCCGTCTGTGAGGTCAGGATAGTAAGACACAGCAGGATCAGGGCACCCCCGAGCCCCTGGCTGAGCCCCGCCCTCTCCCACAGGGTACCTGGTGGTGCCGGCGGGCGGGGGCGGCACCTTCCTGGGCGGCTTCTTTGTGAACAAGCTGAAGCTCCGTGGCTCGAGCATCATCAAGTTCTGCCTGACCTGCTCCCTGACCAGCCTGCTGGCTATCCTGGTCTTCTTCACCCACTGCCCCAATGTGCCCATGGCAGGTGTGACCACCCACTACAATGGCAGGTAAGGCCCCACATGGCAGTCAGGGTTCATGGGCGAGGCCTCTGGCACTGCCCTCTGCCCACCGCCTGCATCTCCCACCTGCAGTGTCTTGGCCGAGGGCCGCCTGGAGCTGACGGCCGCCTGCAACGCCGCCTGCAGCTGCCGGCCGGAGCACTACAGCCCGGTGTGCGGCTCCGACAGCCTCCTGTACTACTCCCCCTGCCATGCGGGGTGCCTGGGGGTGGCCGCGCCTGGCCCGGGCGGCCAGAAGGTGAGTGCTGCCCCTGCCCGCGCCCCATCCGTCCGTGCCCTGGACCCTGGGAGGGCCCCTGCCCCTTCCTCCTGTAACAGCGCTGTTGTTGCGCTCCTCAGGTGTACCAAGACTGTAGGTGTGTCCTTCAGAATCTTTCCTCTGGTTTTGGCAATGCTACCGCAGGGAAATGCGCCTCAGCTTGCCTGAGCAAGCCCTTCCTTCTGGTTTCCATGTTCGTTGTAATTATCTTTACATTCCTCAGCAGCATTCCCGCACTGACGGCAACTCTACGGTAAGCACGGGCCTGGGTTTCGCTCTGGTCCGGAACCTTCCCTTGCAGCACACTCAGGTGGAGCTCTGCAGAGCCCGTGGGGTCCCTGCCGGGTCCCCCAAAGCAGTGGCAAGAAAGAACCGCGCCTCTTTGAGGTGCTCTCCACCTGGGGAGGTGGCGATGCGGCCAGGAGCGCAGCAGGACTTGGCCACGGGCTCGGGGGTGTGACTTGGCGGCAGCCACACTTCCCTGGGCATTGACGCTGTGCTTTTCCTATTCAGGTGCGTCTGTGACCAGCAGAGATCCTTTGCCCTGGGAATCCAGTGGATCGTTGTTAGGACTCTAGGTACTTGCAGCGAGGGGGCCGCAGACGGCTGGGCAGGGTGCTCCCTGCACAAGGGCACCTGACAGGTGTCTCCTCACCCAACTGGCGCACATCCCAGCAAGGCTGTGCCCACCTGGGGAAGGACGCCATTCCCGAACTGTCCACTAGAGGGACCCATGGTCATTTTTTTGCCCAGAGGGTGCCTTCCTCACTAATAGGAGGGCTCTGTGGGGGTCAGAGGTCTTGGGGAATGTCCTGGCCTGAAGCCCAGTCCCCAGAGAAGAACACTTAGGCCCCCTTTGCACCCCTTGGGAACACCAGTGGCTGAGGTCCCCTTTCTGAGAGCCTGGGCGTGTTGGGGTTCTGAGCGGGCCTGTCTCTGCAGGGGGCATCCCGGGGCCCATCGCCTTTGGCTGGGTGATCGACAAGGCATGCCTGCTGTGGCAGGACCAGTGCGGCCAGCAGGGCTCCTGCTTCCTGTACCAGAACGAGGCCATGAGCCGGTACATGCTCGTCGCGGGGCTGGTGTACAAGGTGGGCAGGCGCGCTGCTAGGGGACGGCCCTGAGGGAGGAGCCTGGGATCTTCCGGCAGTGGGGGGTCTGGGCACTCCACTGCACCTTCCAACAGCGAAGCCCGGCAGCTGAAGATCATTCCCCATCTAGAGCTGTCACTGGGACCCTGGAGGTGACTGTGGGAGAGCAGGCCCAAGTCACGGGCCCCGCATGCAGGTACCACAGGGCGGGAGCAGCCCCTCCCCGGCCTCCCGGGACTTCGCCATCGCAGCCTGGCGGTGTGCCCTGTGGCTCTGGCAGCTAAGGCTTCAGAGGGTAAAACCCGGCAGCCCCGGGACCATTCAGGCCCGCCGGCGAGCTGGGTTCCTGAGCAGCGTGACTCTGCGGTGCCTTCCTAGCTCTCCGCCCGCCTGTGCCTCGTGCTGTGCGTGGAACTCCTGCCGCAGCTCTCGGCACGTGCTCCCGTGTGAAGCCCAGACCCGGTACTTTGTGTGTCTTCCCTTTAGAGGAGAAGACTCAGGACCTTCCAAATAGCATGAAATCCTAGGGTTGGTCAGGAAGAGTGTCTCCGCTGGCAGGAGGCTTTTCCTGAAGGGCCTCAAAGACAGGCGGCCTTAGCTGGCCCTGGTTTATCTCCCTGCGGATTAGCGTAAAAATAGCCAAGTGTGAGCAGAGATTTGTGGGGCTCTGGAGAAGAGCCCGGGTTGATTTTAAAGAGACATGCCCTCCCCGGGGAGCAGGCTGGTCCCCGGGACGCCTGTCTGCCCAGGTGATAACCTGTGCCCTCTGCCCAGCCAGCCTGAACCCGTGGTTAGGAACAGCTTATGAGCGTGTGCTAATTTCAGCAGGGGGTGCAGATAGCTGTGCCCCTAAACACCACTCCATTCAATCACTTTGCGACGAAGTGGCTTCAGGCCCGACAGCCACGGGATGCTCCAGGAAAAACGGTGGGCGTTTCCACTAAAACCAGCGTCCGTGCGTCAGAGGTATACAGGGGCATAGAGGCGGCCTACGCGCTCCACCCTCATTTTCAAGGCTGCCTGTGGGTCCTGTGTACTGACCAGCTCCGAGTTAGGGCCACACAACAAAGGCAGCTTAAAGCAACAGGAACTTACTGTTAGTTCTGGAGGCCAGAATCAAGATCGAGGTGTCTCAGGGTTGGTTCCTTCTGGGCGTTCTGAGGGAACCAACCCTGCAACCCAGGCCTGTCCCCCAGCTTCTGGGGCTGCCAGCAACCCTTAGCTTATAGACTCATCACCCCATCTCTGCCCCCATGTACACAGGGTCCCCTCCATGTATTTGTGTCAAATCCCTGTCTCCTTTCTCTTACTAGACATCAGCCATTGGATTGGGGGCCACCCCTCCAATATGCTCTCGTCCCAAGTTCCTTAATTACATCTACAAGGACTCTGTTTCCAAGTAAATGTCCCTTTCACAGGTTCTGGGGATCAGTACTTAGATATATCTTTGAGAGACACTGTTCAGCTCCCCCTTATCTGGTGCCTTTGTTTTTAGTCAAATGGCTAATTCCTTCGCTGATACTATTGTGTCCCTGCTGGGGACTGGCGATGCAGGAAAGGGGGTCTTATTGCCAGAGCAAGGCATCCTCAGAGCCCCAAGAGGAACCGGGGCCAGGTGGGGACCCCTGGATGGGCAGCTCCAGGGGTCCAGCAGCTCCTTTCTCCCCAGGTGCTGGGTTTCCTGTTCTTTGCCACTGCATACGTCCTGTACAAGTCCCTGTCTGGGTCTCCCCACGGCCTGGAAGCCTCTCTGCCCAGCCAGTCCTCGGCCTCCGACCACCCCACGGACCTCCAGGGTGCCCCCTCAGACCTCCAGCTCCAGAGCAACGTCTGACGCCCGCCCACCCACCTGCTTGGGACCTGGGCCAGCACTCAACACTCCCCGGCCAGCTTCTCCCAGCCCAGGGCAAAGGACACTTCAGAAATCCATGAGCTCCTCGGGGGCTTACGGCGGGGGCTGCTCGTGTCTGAGGCTGGAAGGCAGAAGGAAGAGGGAATGCACTCCAGGTGGGAGGCGGCCCTGTCCCGGGCCCACCCTGCCTCTGACCCCTCTCCCGGTGGGCGGAGCGCAGCCTCCGCTTCCCTGGTCCCGGCCTTCACACTGTGGCCTTTCCTGGTGGACGTGGCCGGACGGCATTGACTCGGGGCTCAGTGCTGACGCGTGAAGCTGGCGGCCTCCGCAGCTGACCAGCTGCTGCTCTCGACCTCTGGTGCTCAGTTCTCATGAATGAGGAGCCGCCCGGTGGGAGGCTGGGGCCTCTGACTACTCTGTCCTGCTGGAGGGAGGCCCGAGCGATGCCCTTTCCCGGGTGCGCTCTCCCTGTTCAAACCTGCTGTTGCCTCCTGTCCTCGCCGCACTGCCCACAGTGGGATGGGAGCACGTATTTACGGACCCACATTCTGCATCAACACTTACTTCTCAAATCTTTTTACCTGATGGAGTGGCGGGTGGAGCGCTCGCTCAGCAGGACCGCCTGAGGATGTCGGACTTTCACGGGATGTTTGTTTCTTGGTGTCCTCAGTCAAAATTGTGTGTGTAAATATATTTTAATATTTAAAACACATGTCCCTACTGGTGTGCTTTATTTCTGTGAGTTTGCAAAGTTCGGTGGTTTGGCACACCCTTCGTGTGGGTCTTTGTGTCTGCGGAGGGCTGCCTCCTGGTGGGTGCTCCCCTCACCCCGCTAGTGATCCTCCCCCTTTATGACAGGAGTCTCCTTCCAGGGTCCCGCACCCACCTGGGTCCTCAACCCTGGGTCTCACTTCTGTTCACTGTTACTGGTGCAGGAAGAGTGTATGGGCACACATGTTGTGTGCACATGTGTGCACACGTGTGTCCACTAGTGTGTGGGTACACACATGTATATGTGTGTTTGTGTGTGTGAGTGTGCACACATGTGTGTGCGTGTGTGGTTCAAAAAACAAGATGAAAGAAGCCCTAGCACAGGGTTACTCTTTTATTGAACACCCAGCTCTGACAAGTGGAGACCAGGCTGGGCGATGACCGCTGACACGCCTACTGGGTCTGTGTATGTGCTGGGAGCTCACTGCCAACACCACGTCATTTGGAGGGACGGAAGCAAGGGGTGGTTTCCTGCCCTCCCAGGAGGCTCCTAGCCACCTTGACCCCACCCAGGCAGGGGTCACCCTTGTCAGGGGCTTGGCAGGTGAAAGCCCCAGAGCTCCATCCTGGCATCTTGTGCTCCCTACAGTCTCACCCGCACCCCGTGGCTGGGCTGCCCTGGAGGTCCCCGCAGAGCCCACCCAGCCTCCAGGATCACCCCCCGCAGCCCCCCGGCCTCCCTGGCCTGCTCACTGTGACACCCCCGCACCTCAGCCAGTTTGGATCCTTATTCCCCTGTTGCACCCCCAAACTCCTCTCAAATCGTTTCTCTCCTCCAGCCCTGGGCAGACACCTGGGCTCAGCAACCTGCCCGGGTGGTTCAGCTGCCCCTGCACGGCTCCTGCTTCCCCCTCCTGTCTCCCCTCCCGTCCCCCCTGCTGTCCCCCACTTAGCCAGGATGCTGTCACAATGCCCTCTAGTGAGATGCCAGCTCATGGGCCCCTACATTCCCCTAACATCTGCAGGCCAGCCCCATGAACCCTCAGTCCGGTACATGCCCTCTGTCTCCTGCCCCCATAGCCTCAGGGACCCGGGGCAGAGTCAGTCTTTGGGGGTGTCTTCCTTTACAGGCCCCAGGCCCCACTTGGCCCTGAGCATGCCCCAGCTCTCCTGGGTGTCCTCTCGCCTGTGGCTCCTTAGGGGCACCCTGTAGGCTTCATCTGCTGGAGGGTCAGGACGTGGCAATCAGAATTCTCAGCAGCTGTTTCATGGCACTGCCAGCTGGAAGTGCCTCAAGGTATAGGCACTGCCTGACCCCAGTTGCTGATGACAAAGACGGGTTCATCCAGCATGCACTCAGGTGTCCAGGGCTGGTGCCCTGAGCAAACACCCTCCTGTCTCATCGCACCTGTGTCCTCCTCGGACGTGCCCTGCCTTCCCCAGTGCGGGGCCAAGCTCGCTGGGTGTTTTCTGATTCCATCCGGACCTGGGCTCCCCTGGCACCACCTCTGGTGTGAGCCCTGAGCCCAGCAGCCCAGCTCACGCCCCTCCCAGTGATGGTGGTGGTGGGGGGGGGAGATCCGCAGTTGTAGCCACTGGGCACAAGGGGGAAGCACAGACATGCCCTGGGTGTCAGGCTCCCTGGAGGCCACAGCACTGCCTCCCAGCTGGCTGGACCCTAGTGCTGGTGCCCAGCTGGTGTCCTCTCCCCGACAAATGCAAGCTTCCACAGGGTCTCTTCCTTCCACTCCCCGGGAGGCGTTTCTGCGACTGTGAGCTGGACACCGCCCCTTCCACAAATCCTGACCCAGCCACCTCCCCTTGCCGGAAACTGGGCAGGGTGTGAGGTTGGGCTGTGAGCACGAAGCGGTATCCCTGTGGATGACACTGAAGAGTCAAGGGAGCACCTGCCTGGGCCAGGCCTTGTGCTGAGCGATAGGGAACGCAGGCCTGGCCAGAGGGCACAGGGCCAGGGATAGACAGTTGGGGGGGTCACTGGGACTGACCCACAAGTAGCACCTGGGACCCTCTTAGTTCCTTGACACCCTCTCCCCGACGGAGGACCCCCATCCCCTTCATGGGGTAGGACCCCAGCACCGGCAGAGGCCAGAACTCCGGATTCCTTCACTCCTATCTTTGCCCTTGAGCAGGGTCTGCGCTGGGCTGGGGCTGTTTAAAGCTCTCACTTTTTAAACAGCGTTATTGAAACGTAAATCATAGGACACGTGTGTTCTGTTCAGTGGGTTTCAGTGAATTCACAATTGTGCAGCTGTCGTTGTGGTCACCCCCCTCCCAACCTTCCAGCCACCATGAGTCCACCTCCTGTCTCTGGACATTTCCTGTGAACGGAATCCGACACCGTGTAACCATGCGACTCTGGCTGTGCTCACTGAGCGTCATGGTTCAGGTTTGTCCCTGTCATCAAAGGTGTCCGTGCAGGTGAGGAAGACTCAGTTCATCTGAGGCAGCCCTGGACACCACGGATCTGGTTGTCCCAGGCCCAGAGGTAGCCCCGCTCTAGCCCGAGGCTGGAGGCTGGTTGGTGAGACCCCGGGGCTGGAGGTGCACCCTGTGTGCCGGCTCCTTGGGGCACAGAGATGAACGGCGGGAGCAACTGCTCCTGAGATAATTCGCATTCGGATTTATTTTAATCGGCCGCACATTAGAAAGGCACATGTGATAACCATTTGATGACTGTTCTATGTGTAATGCATTTTATTCTCATCTGGCTCTCCTGGTAATTACATTCTGCTGCATTTAATTCATAATGTGATCGTTTATCCCGAATGGTGCTGGGGGACCGAAGGCTCTCGGGAGCAGCTGGCGAGGCCGGGCCCTCCGCGCTGGCTGCATGCGGCGGGACAAAGCCAAACTTCTCGTGGCTCCTGCGGGGGCTTCCAGCAGGCGGCCGGAACGTGACAAGGGTGTGGATGAAGAAGCAGGCTCACTATTCCTGCAATATCGGACACACTGTCACTGCGATATCGGACACACTGTCACTGCGATATCGGACACACTGTCACTGCGATATCGGACACACTGTCACTGCGATATCGGACACACTGTCACTGCGATATCGGACACACTGTCACTGCGATATCGGACACACTGTCACTGCGATATCGGACACACTGTCACTGCGATATCGGACACACTGTCACTGCGATATCGGACACACTGTCACTGCGATATCGGACACACTGTCACTGCGATATCGGACACACTGTCACTGCGATATCGGACACACTGTCACTGCGATATCGGACACACTGTCACTGCGATATCGGACACACTGTCACTGCGATATCGGACACACTGTCACTGCGATATCGGACACACTGTCACTGCGATATCGGACACACTGTCACTGCGATATCGGACACACTGTCACTGCGATATCGGACACACTGTCACTGCGATATCGGACACACTGTCACTGCGATATCGGACACACTGTCACTGCGATATCGGACACACTGTCACTGCGATATCGGACACACTGTCACTGCGATATCGGACACACTGTCACTGCGATATCGGACACACTGTCACTGCGATATCGGACACACTGTCACTGCGATATCGGACACACTGTCACTGCGATATCGGACACACTGTCACTGCGATATCGGACACACTGTCACTGCGATATCGGACACACTGTCACTGCGATATCGGACACACTGTCACTGTGATATCGGACACGCTGTCACTGCGATATCGGACACACTGTCACTGCGATATCAGACACACTGTCACTGCAATGACAGACACACTGCTGCTGCAGCCTAGTAACGGTGTGCAGCTGTACCCTCGGACCCAGAGGTAGAGTGAGTTTCACAGGCCCGGGCAGACCCCGTGGGTTCAGGTATGTATGGTCCTGGGTTTCACTTATGCTCTGTGTGCCTTGGTTTCCCCACCTCCATCATGGGGAGGATACCACAGTACTGACTTCACTGGGGTTTATGAAGACCAGAGGGGTCTTGGACAACAGTAAACACAGCATACGTGTTCACTAAATAATTAAAATAACCATCATCCTTGCTTAAGAGGTAGGAAACCGAGGCACAGAGAGCTGAATGCACCAGTCAGGGTTCTCCAGAGAAACAGAACCCATAGCGCACATGTGTGTGTGTGTGTGTGTGTGTGTGTGTGTGTGTGGATAGAGCTTGTGTGTGTGGATAGAGCTTGATTGTGATGACCGGCCCATGACTGGGGAGTCTGAGAAGTCCCACAGTCTGCTGTCTGTGTACTGGAGACCAGGGGAGGGG